TTTATCACCAAATGAAAGAAAGCTTTATCATTAAAGTCTTGTACTAATATCAAAATAGGTAAATGTTTTATTTTTGTTTATTTTAGTTATTAGTAATTAAACATTTTGTGCTTGTTTATCATATTTCCTGTGTTAACTGTCTGTTTCTGTTTTTCAATCACATGCCTGCTTGAGGTCTTGGAGTTTTCTCATACAGTTGAATAAATTCTTTATGTGGTGTAGATATTAACCCTTTGTATATATGATACAAATATTTTCTGTCCATCTTTTATTTTTAGGTTGTTTGGCAGTTTTTGAAATCAGAGAGTCTACCTTTTTTTAGAGGCAAAATCTGTCAATCTTACCCTTTGCAATTTTTAAAGTGCCACTGTATCTCTCTATGATAAAGTTCTATATCTTCTTTTGGTGCCAGTTTTTCCCATTATTGTTTCTTACTTAATTTGAGGTTTGTTTTGGTGTATTTGGTTTATTTTGTTTTAGTTATCCCAACATTACTTATTACATAATTTTGCTTTTTCCCATTTGTTAATGGTTCTTATATTAAAATCTGATTCTATGTCTATATTTTCTATTCAGTTCTCAAATTACAACTCGCCATTTTCACAGCTGCAACACACTCCTACAGTAACATATTCTAAATATGCTAGGGGTAGGTGGTCAAACATGGTTCTTACTTTCCAGACTATGTTTTAAAAAATATTTTTCCCAAGACCTGAGCAGAAAACAACTGACACCAAGCAGCAGAAGCAGAGAATTGATTCTGAGATCAACCAGTCTTCGGGACCAGAGGACAGCGTGGGGGATCAGACAGGTGTCCAAGGTCAACTGCATCCTCCCAAGATGGCTCTTGGGGCATAATCGTGGCTGTGCTTCTGGCAGCCTAGCTTCACTGGGTTCCTGAGCATTTTCTAAGCCTGGTTCTTCCAATTTCTCAAAAATTCTCAATATCTAAATGATATCCTTTCAATAAATTCCTTTGCTGATTAAATTAGTCAGTTTCTCACACTTACAACTAAGAAACCTCACTATTGCACTTCTATTTAAAAAATAACCCATTTCCAATTTTTATCTATGCTATAGTAAAAACCTCCTTTTTCCTATGTTCCTTATTTTTTTATGCTATAAATTTGCCTCATCATAGGAACCACCTGAAACACTTATTAAAAACACAGAGTCTTAGAGTCTTAGAGATATGCAGTATGTCTGAACTGATGTGCAAAAATGGGCATTTTCAGTAAGTCCCTTTATTACTGCCACATATGCATATCTACAGTCCCAGATGTTCTTGTGGTCAGGCAATTTTGGAAAACACTGCCCTAACTTAAATTACTAGAGACTTGATAGGTCAAACCTATTTTTCCGAAGAGCAAAAAAAAACCTCGTTAAAAAAAATTAAAGGAAAAGGAGTTCAGTGTTTTCATGTATCTTTCTGGAATTGACTAAAATGATTAATGAGCTAACAATGACTTTGGCCTAACAAAGACCTAGGTTTGAATCTCCACTGTGTGACCTTAGCCTACTTCTCTATGTCTGACAAGGATAAAAGAAGCTTCCACATTAGGATATTGTGAGGATTAGATGAGAGAAAAGTGGTCAGACTCTTAGTGATAGTCAATTGACTGGCACAGGGAGGGTTCCTAGTTAGTGAAAATGTCTTCCCTTTATTCTTTTCTTGTCTTTATTCCTATGAATCACTTCTTTTTTCAAATAGGTAAAGGTTATTATTTAACTCAATCTTTAACTACCTGTTATATGCAATATAAGATATATTCTCTAATGTTTTACAGTTCTTCAAATAAAATATAATATTCAAGGAAACTGCTTATCTTATACGCCAGATTAAAAAGATAAAATAAAAGAGAGACAAGAATAATAATCTTTGCCCCACTGGGGAGAATCCTGCTCTGTGGTATCAGCCCCCATAAAGCAGCTTGTATACTGTGCTGGTGGCAATCCTCACAGCCAGTAAGCCTGAGGGTCAACCCCACCCACTGACATGCCAACAGCAATGAAAGTTCAACTACAACAGGAGGACATCCACAACCCTCCCAATGGACACTCCTGGAGCACCTAGCTCAGGTAATCAGGAAGACTGCACCACTGGGCCCCACAAGACACCTACTACATAAGGCCACCCTGCCCAGATTGGGAGAAATAGCAGATCTACCTAGTACATAAAAACAAACAGAGAAAGGTAGCCAAAGTGAGAAAAAAAAAGAAACATGTCCCAAATGAAAGAACAGGAGAAAAGCCCAGAAAAAGAATTAAATGAATGGAAGCAGGCAATCTACCAGATACAGAGTTCAAAACACTGGTTATAAGGATGCTCAATGAACATAGGGGAAGAATAGATGAATTCTGTGAGAACTTCAACAAAGAGATAGTAAGCATAAAAAAAAACATAGAAACCATAAAAAACCATTCAGAAATGATGAATACAATAACTGGAATGAGAATACACTCAAAAGAATCAACAACAGGTTAGATGAAGCAGAGGATCAAATCAGCAATTTGGAAAACACAGTAGCAGAAAACACCCAATCAGAACAGCAAAAAGGAAAAAAGAATTTTTTTTAAAAATGAGGATAGTTTAAGGGAACTCTGGGAAAACATCAAGCACCAAAGGGTAATACTAAATGGAGAAGAGAGAGAGCAAGGCATTAAGAACTTATTTGAAGAAATAATGTCTGAAAACTTCCCTAACTTGGCAAAGAAAATAGACATGCAAGACATGGAAGCACGGAGAGTTCTAAACAAGATGAACCTAAAGAAGCCCACACCAAGACACATCATTATTAAAATGCCAAAGGTTACAGAAAAAGAATCTTAAAAACAGCAAGATAAAGGCAGCTAGAAACCTACAAGGGAGCTCCCATAAGATTATCAGCTGATTTCTCAATAGAAACTTTGCAGGCTAGAAAGGATTGGCATGAAATATTCAAAGTGATGAAAAGCAAGGACCTACAACCAAGACTACTCTACCCAGCATGACTATCATTTAAAATTGAGAGATTGAAAAATTGAAAGAGCTTCCCGGATAAGAAAAAGCTAAAGTTGTTCATCACCACCAAACCAGTATTATAAGAAATACTTGAGGGACTTCTTTAAGAAGAAGGAAAAAAAGAAAAGAAAGAAAAGAAAAAAGAAGAGAAAAGAAAAGATATATGGGTAATGAAAAGGCAATAACTATGTACCTATCAATAATCACTTTAAATGTAAGTGGATTAAATTATCTAATCAAAAGACATAGGGTAGCTGAATGAATAAGAAAATAAGACCTATGCATATGCTGTCTGCAAGAGACCCACTTTGGATCAAAGGACACATACAGACTGAAAGTAAAGGGATGGAAAAAGATATTTTATGCAAATGGAAACGGAAAAAAAACAGCTGAAGTAACAATACTTATATCACAAAACAGACTTCAAAACAAAGGCATTAAAAACAAGAGACAAAAAGAGACCCCAAAATTCCACTTTATCTGTAGTCACTACACTTCTTTAATTTCTTATATTTTTCATTTATGTCTTCTCTCTTCTTCTGATCAAACTTGCCAGAGGTTTGTCTACTTTGTTGGTTTAAAACAAAAAACATCAATGTTCTGTTTTGAGCTGAGTAGCTGCAAGCTGCCGACGGGTGGCCAGATGGAGACTGGGCTTGGAGTTGAGCTACCAGTGCCCTCCACAACTAAGACTGAAGGACAACAACTTTGCTGTTCCCCTTCCTCAATTCCCCAACAAAATCTTTAAAAAAATTATCAAGGAAAATTCCAATAATGCAATGGAAAGTTGGCAAAATCTATGAATGGGTAATTCACAGAAGAGAAAAATCAAAGTATGATTTTTAAATTTATATCTGGTTTCATATTGCTTCCAGATTCGTGTGATGACTCCCTAACTTCTCTTCCAATACCACATTCCGTCTTGATTCCCTTAGTCTGTGCTGTGCTCCTACGTATCCCTAAAGGCTCCCAAGCAAAGAGGTTCAGAGACCTCTGTCATTTCCTTCTCTCCCTTCCACTCAGCCAGTGTTCACCTCCTTAGTCCTGGGTCGTCCTCTCAACCCTGGTTCTATCTTAGCCTTCCCACTGTGGCCCTGGAGAGGGCCAAGATGAGCATGGGCCTTGGTTTGCTTTTACTCCCTGCCATTTTCCAGCTATGTGGGAATAGGTATGCTACCTTTTGGGGCCTTGATTCTCTCCTCTGTAAGACAGGAGAGTTACACTTGCTTTTCATGATCTCTAGGGAATGGACAGAAGTAACTGATATACAGCATGGTGTCTATTACACATTAGGACCTTAAAAATATTAGTTCCTTTCCTTACTTCAGTTTCCTGTGGTGAGTCTAGAGGCTGGGATACCAGCAAAGACATTTTCTAAATAGCTACCTGGCTCTAATCACTTGACATTTGGAATACCTCCATTTATTGCTAACTGCTTAATTTTGCTAGAAAACTGTTTTTATTACATCATGCTCCTGATTATCAGTCTGCAGTGATTCCTTCCTGCCTTCAGGAAAAAATGCATACTGCATACCCTTACTGCCAAGATACTCATTCCTCTGAGGTAGAGAGAAATTTAAAAACCTTGCCCAAGGTGCCCCAAACACAGTTTTTAATCCTTTCATTTGGGAAAATGCAGGAGTGCCTAAAAATTTGGATTCATTTTATGTAACAGCATATGTTGTGTTTTCCTTCAGTACACTAAACCACCAATCCACTGGGATAATGATACACTAAAGCAAATTTCACTTTGTTTCCCTGAAGTCTTATTTTGTATTTAAAACATCTTTACTATCTCTACTTATCATTCTAAATGAAGGAACAAGAAGGGGTGATAGAAAACACTGACCACAGACAGTTATTGACATAGCTACTGATAATTAGGCATATTGTCAACACAAAATAATTAAAACAAGATTTTTGCTGTGATTATAAGAGAAATAAAAATTTAGACATTGTGGCTAGTTGCTAAAAACTGAAAAAAATAATTCCCTTTTACCTAGTACTTCTCTTTGCAAGTCATGGCATCTGGTTTGCAGGTTTACTTCCTGTTGTTTGGATGTCTGAATCTGCTGAGACCTCAGTATGGCTGCATCTGACAACAACTTCAGGCTTTTCATTTCCTCTTCAAGGCATACCTTATTTCTTTGGGACACTGTCAAGCTTTTATTTAGTATCTCTATTTCTGTAAAGAAAATTCAAAGTTTACAAGTAAACAACACTGAGTCATAAAACAATTTTCAAAAAAAAATGATTATTTCTTTTAGAAAATTAATATTTGAAAGCCAAGATGACTTTTCTGAGAACATAATGACACCTAACCAGAAGGTTAAATGTAAATTTAGTGGTTATTCTGAAAAAGAAATCAGAAAAAGGACTGTATTGCTTAATTATGTATGAAAATTTTAGGGTTTTTTTTTAGCCTTTAGATTGTACTAACTGGCAATTCAGCCTGCTTTTTAAACACTCACATAAATGAATAACATATCTGTGTAATGTTCTGGGTTTTATTGAAATTAAATTGTTTTCTTGGCAACATGATTCAGAAAAGTCAATTTAAATGTGCTGGCATGAGCTGGCTAGATGGCATTTCTAGGAGAGTAACCAGGATACATTCTATACAAATTATGAAGAAAGATGGTAGAGGTGAAGAGGAATACAAAAATGTAGTGTCTAAAACTAATAAACTTATGAGCAGAAAGCATTAGTTAATATATCTTAATGATTCTAACAAAACGAGACCAGAATTTCATCATAGCAATCACCTGTCATTATTCTATCTACTTAGATTAAATTTAATAAAAAGACGCCTTCACAGCATTGTGTAGGCTTAAATGTATTAATTTTATATAATTTCATGAGAAGCGCATAGAGCATATTATCCTTCAGAATGATAATTATCAAGCTCCCCCTTCATCAGCCTTTTCAACACTGCTGCTTTAAACCAGCATTAAAATATACAAACACACAAAATAATAAAATACTATAAAATTTGCGCAACTACAATTGAAATGATGAGGATGAAAATCTGGACAGCCTGCCTTTCCAGAGAGTTCATTTGGCATTGTTTTCCTTGGTTAAGTCATTCTGGGCCATATGATGGGTTTAGCCTGTGATTAGGTGTCAAAAGAGGGTGGCTTGGTTTATTGGTCTTAGAGCCACCACAGCAAAAACAGCAACCTTAGCTCATCCTTCCCTTCAGAGGCAAGTGAAGACCAGAAGTAGAGATCAATTTGACAGACATGGCCACAGAGGCAAGTAAATGGTTACAGGAGAGGTAAAGCGGTATGCTATTAATAGAACGGCACAGAGGAAGGAGCATGACTTATTAAAGGATGGGGATGAGTAGGGTCAGGGACATGGTCCAAGGAGAGAAAAGCAAAATGTCTTTCTGTGGGAAAGAAGTATGTCTGAAGAAAACATGGCATTTAAGACAGACCCAGGTCATGAGCACAAGGGGTCTGGCACCTTCTTCACTTTTAATTCCTGCTCAAAATGGAAAACCTGGAGAAATAAATTGGCAGGGACCAAACAAGTTGAGGGTCTATGACATTCCAATAATTACTTTACAGAGAAATATTATTCCTAAGAATAGTTATATGCTTCTGAAAACTTATGGAAACACACCCATTTATAACGGACTAGTACATAAAGCTTGAAAAAAGAATGTAGTTAAAGAAAATAAAGAGGTAGCAATTTTTCTTCAGATCTAAAAAGTCTTCCTGGGTATTTCTGTAGCCATACAGGTGGCTTGTTATGACTGAATAAGCTGTACTGTACTCTAACTGTCCCACACTCTAACCATATCTATATATGTCTAAGTCAGAGTGACACTGCAGAGGAGCACATGCTGTCACCTATTTATTGTTTGCCAGAATGACACGCTTAGGTTAGCAGGCTGACTCTGATAGTGCACACTACTATCTGTCTCTAAAATAACTATTCGTGTCAACATGACTTTCTATCTCACATTAAAAGAAGAAGAATCTGCAACACAGATTCATTTGTGAAATATATTCTAACACATGGAAAAGTACAGCAAGATTTCAAAATAACTGATCTACAAAGTTTCTAACATAGAATTGGCAGAGTAAATCCCAGGGAGGTGAGTTAACTCACCTATGGCAAACTCCACATCCCCTGTCCCTACGGCAGTCCTGGTGTCAAATATCCAATCCTGTCTTCATCATTAATACAACTCCATACTTGTCAGTTGTGTGTCCCAATTTGGGGTTCAGAAATTATGATCTCCTTCAGATCAACCTTTCCAGTCATTGGTTCCACCTTGTCATTGGTGCTCTCCTTGTTTCAGCACCTCCATGAAGAAGGTCATCCCGACCTTCTACAGCTCATGTGCTACCACAACTCATATGCTACTTACTTCTCACTCCACTTGATCTTCCTGAAACTCACACCAATTTACACCATTTTTATTGCACCAGTCCATGCATACATGTGACCTACTATTGGATTATGAATTATTTTAGGCCAGAGGTAATATCTTACTCATTTATTACCCCCATAATTTCTACGACATCCTAGGATTAATAGGAGCTCAGTAAATACCTACTAAAGGAGTAAAGGCCTCGCTGAGCAAAGCTTCTCAATAGCTTCTACCGCACCACTAGTTGAAAATCCTGAACACGTGCTCAACCTTCACTTCAGAGGCAAGCATTTTGAGCCCCAGATTACTTAGCTCAGACAAGGAAAGGGTAAAGACACACATCAAAAAGAAGGAAACAAGGGGCTGGCCAAGTGGCTCAGTTGGTTAAGAGCTC